TTTCGTTCGAGACAATCACTTTTAGTCAGTCAAAATGTCCCAAAATAGTCTCCATACAAAATGCATGATTTCAATCAACTTAGCCAGTTTTAGTTGTGTACCACACTGTACCACTACATACAGTTACTTACAACTGAGTGACACTTAGTCATTTTATTTGCACACGGTATATTTAAAACTCTCCAGTCCAAATAGTAACTAAAGGAATGGAAGAGTAGAAGATAGTATGGAATGAAATATTCACATCATCCAAAAATGCGATACCATTTGTATACGTGCCTTTTGAATACCTAAAGTAAAACAACTTGAAATTAGTTCGTATTATGCTATAATATGTATGTTTATTGTCTTTTGTTATATTGTTTTTATCATCATAATAAAAATGAAAATTAACTTAGAAAAAGAGGAAAACTATGAAAAAAAAATTCCAATTAATTGAAAAACCTGCGGAAATCTTGAAGTGGCAATTTTTTTATGTTTTTACGTTTTAACATGACCGGTAACCAATCTAATGAATAAATATACCTACTTTTGGTGTATTTTAAGGACCAGTCAGTGCTTAGACACTTTTGTAGATATGTATATTCGGAATCTTCGGAAAATCCAAACTCAAAAACCGTAAGTTGTTTGAATATAGTCATAACACGCTGAACCTTAGAAATTGAAATGGGACAAAAAGCTAACACTTCGAATTCAACCAAAAATGGAAAGTTTTTTGTGATTATTCCATGATTTTCTATGAGTGAGTTTACAGCATCGGGCGTACACATCCGTAGTATTAGTGTTTCTATTGATTGAATTTTCGGAAACAAACCATCAAAATATTCGAACGGTTTATCCTCCATCCAAATATCCATTGTTTCCAGCTGAACAAATGTGATTGGATTAACAAAGTTATCTGGCCAAGGTCCCCGAAGCGACAAGTGCTTTAAATTGTTTAAATGTAGCAATTTACCATTGAAATTCGAAATAAATATATCAAACCAATCCACTTGGAGACACTCAAGATTTTGTAGGTTTTTACTTAAAGTTTGAAACATATTCATGTCCATTATCTTTCGATATAAGTTGAGTTTTTTGAGCTGTGGATTTTTACGAATAATATCTAAGTACACCTCTGCACATGCTGATGAGCAATCAGATCCGTCATGAAACATTTCTAAATATTGCAAATGCTGAAAATGATTTGCAATGCATCCACTATGAACGAATTGAGAACATTCTGCCGATATTTCTAGTATTTGCACCGCTGGGAACAACCGAACAAGACGATCTTTTGTAATATTAATTGCATCAAAGTCCCCAACACACAGTGCACATAAATTAGCGTTGATTTGATCTTTTACATTAAATCTCAGCTCGGTTACCTTGGCAAATGGTTTCTTAAGCGTAAAAAATTCAAACTGATTGTCAAAAGTAAAATAGAATATTTTCAAAGTTGCACTGCAGTATTCTTGAATATAACCAATCAAATTGCAATAGATCTTATTATAATTTTCATTATAATCATCGGGTGCGGATTCCAAATGCAGAACTCCAGATACCAGATGTCCAAAGCAACGGAGCAGCCGAAAACTAGATCTTACGTTATAGAAGATATATTCTCGAAACGCCGGAAGTGTGCCAGACTCACAATTCCGTGCAGGCGACAGCGACACCGTTTTTTCACTGTATTTTCGATAATAAACAAAACGGGCAGCATGGCGTAATCTCGTGTTTGAATCTGCGGCACTCATGAGGTCATCGATTTCCAAGTGTTCTAATATTCCTTCGATACAATCGATGTTCAAATCGGTGAGTTTCATGATGATATCTGCTGAAGAGTATGACAACTGTTGATTTAAAAATAATTCGTTGAATTTAATTACTCTTTTAGTTCGAAATCTTAACTTACTTGAATATTTAACAAAGGATTTTATGTTGAATTGTGTTCAGGTTCAGAAAATGTCTAATGCTCAAACTTGTACTGATGTTGTTTCTGTTCTATCGATCTGAGAGCTAACCTGCAACTGATTCTTCCGATCAATTGGTCACTTGCTACGACCGCTTCGAAATGGAAAGGAAAGGAAAAGAGCAAAGAAATCGAGTGCAAAGGACATGTCATTAGGACATTCATAAACAATGAGTAATTAAGCATGCCAGACAATGTTCCTAATTGAAGCAAAGATTTGGTTTCTCATTATGCTGCAGGTAAATGAAAACGTTGAAAGAGCAAATGACACAAAATAGAAGAGAGTGAGATTATTTTTCATCTAATGACTTTGCTTATGTATTCGAACATTTCCAGTGCCATACTAAACAGAAGAGAACAGATTGAAATATGAGAAAAAGCATCATCACACATGGAAAATTATAACATTTATGAAATATTTATTCGCAATGACAAGAATGATTTGGCCGTCGCTGTTTCTCGTCAACGTATTTTAAATAGTCGATATTTTCCGCCGTCATAAATGTTTTGTTTCGGTCGAAACGAGAGTATCGCTAGATATTTATTTATTTATTTATTTATTTATTTATTACGGAGCCTACATTTATGCCAATATGTGTTCCCAGCAAGCTGAGAACATGCTGGTCAGATACCCAATACGGCATAAATTCCGCCCATGGTGCGTCTTTTGCAAAGAGAATACAGTCAGGGGAGGGATGATATAAAAGTGAGGCTTTCATACCAGAATTGGGTCCGGAAAACCATGGTAAAACCGGTCTGATTCTGGAAAACCAGGGGAAATACAATGATGATGAGTTTTTGCAATTAAAGTACGTTAACATCAATGAGAAAAATCAAATGAAAAGTCAAACTTAATCTAAATTGGATAAGAAATTTCATAACAATGGTTCGAGTATTTTACTATTTGAAAAATATCTAAAAATTTACTGCGTGGAACGTAACAGATGCTTTAGGTTAGTTTTAAACGCGACTAGAGATTTAGAATTTCTAATTTCGACCGATATACTATTCCAAAAATTGATTGCAGAGAAACTAAATGCGCGAGTATCAAATGCAGTACGCGGATTGAAATTCATGCGAAGATTATCTGGATAACGCGACGATTCACCATTATGAACAAACATGCGATTCAGATACTCAGGCGAACAATTTGACAACTGCTTGAATATCAAGACTGCTGATTGCAGTTTTGCTCTGCTCTCAGGAGTCAATCCACTCAAACGCTCACGATATTCAGTAACATGATCATTACGTTTTAATCCGTAAATGTAAGGGAGATGGTCTAGTTGTGAGACAGCGCCAGTTATGAGACAGT